CCACAAATCCTTCAGGTTGGCTCATAAAAACAGTCTCCTCCAACTCACCATTAAAAAATGCATTGTTGATGTCTACTTGTCCGATTGTCCAATCCTTTGAGACAGCCAGGGTAAGGATTATTCTAAGGGCTGACGATTTAATTACAGGACTGAAGGTTTCATAGAAATCAATGCCTGGGGTTTGATGAAAACCTTTGGCCACAAGCCTGGCCTTGAATCTCTGTACTGATCCATCAGTCTTTTGTTTGAGTCTGAAAACCCACATATTTCCAACTATGCTGTATGATGGTAAACGAGGCACGAGTTCCCAAGTTTTTACTTCTGTCAAGGCTTTAAATTCTTCCTTCATTGCCTTCTTCCAATCATTACTTGTCAGGGCTTCAGCAATATTTTGAGGTTCTGATGGTTTTTCTGTCAGCTTTCCAGGGTAGAGTTTTGGTTTGAACACCCCAGCCTTTGCTCTAGTAATCATGGGATGAAGATTACTTGTTCTGTGTTGAGGTAGCTCTTCACTACCATTGTTACTCAGCTGTAAAGAGAGTTCATCAATTTGTGACTCATGTTGCACTTGCTCCTCAATTTCAGTATTTTCTTCAGACTCGTCAAGATTATCTCCATGTACTATTATGTCAATTGAGTCAGATGGCAGATGATGATCAGCATGAAGAGCTTCAGGATGAGTAGTATCAGCATGACCTAAATTGGACTCTAATTTGTTTAGTTCAGAGGGCAGATAAAAATGTGAAACTATAGTTTCTATCACAGTAGGTTCTGAAGGAATTTTAGTGGAAGTTGAGGACTCGAAAGGGAATTCCATTTCATTGAATACAACATGCCTTGATATGTACAGCCTTCCAGTAGGACTTAGGCATTTCTAGCCTTTGTATGACTCATTATAACCAAGGAAAGTGCATTTGATTGAATGAAAACCAAATTTATGATTTTGATAGGGTCTCAAACATGGATAACATGCACAACCAAATATCTTTAAGGTCTGATAACTTGGTTGTTTGTTGTAAAGAGTTCGATAGGGTGATTGATTTTGAAGAACAAGTGTTGGTAACCTATTAATAAGATATGTGGCAGTTTGAAAAGCTTCCCACCAATATTTCAGAGGTAGTTTAGCTTGTGCCAAGAGTGTTAAGCCCATTTCAGTAACATGTCTATGTTTCCTTTCTATTCTCCCATTATGGGTCGAGGTGTATGGACATGGGTGTCTAAATTCAACCCCTTCTTGGCTTAAGAATTTAGAGAAACTTCTATACTCACCACCCCAATCTGCCTGCAGAGTTTTTATCTTACATTCCAGTTCGTTTTCAACCAGTTTTTTGAATTGTAAGAACACACTTAAGGCTTCAGACTTTTGTTTTAAGGGATAAATCCATGTAAATATGCTATAGTCATCAAGGAAGGAAATATAGTACTTAAAACCTGAAGTGGACAAGATGGGGGCTTGTCCCCATATATCAGTGAAGACTAGTTCAAGTGGGACTTTAGCCTGTGATGAGGATAAAGGAAAGGGTAAAAGATGAGCCTTGCCCAGTTGACAAGCATTGCAAAAAGATCTGATGTCATTTTCTTTAATTTTGATGTTACAAAATTTGAGCACTTGGTTCATTACTTGACTAGAAGGATGACCAAGCCTCTTGTGCCATACATCACTATTGAAAATAAGGACTTATGACTGGAAATAGCAGAAGAAAGGTTGTAGGAGAATTTATTTTTGAGGACTGACTCTTGAGTGAAGTTCTTGGCAATTTGGTAAGTAACGTCAAGCTGATATAACCCCTCCTTAAGCTTGCCTTCGTTGACTGATCCTTGACAAAACAGTAATCAGGATAAAATTCCATGAAACCGTTATTATCTGAAGTTAGCTTGGAAACACTAATAAGGTTTTTCTTAATATCAAGCACATGAAGGAGCTTGTTCAGAACAAGAGTTTTATCATTCAAGACTGGAAAATATGAAGTGCCAAAGCGTGAGATACTCAACTTACTTCCATCTCCTACCATAACTTTTTCCTTACCAGCATATTCATTAACTGATGTGAGATTTCCTTTGTCTGAGGTGATGTGATTGCTTGCTCCTGTATCAGCATACCATGCTGGATCGTTAACAGTGTTGGGGCTTGCTACCAGGGCTGCAGGTGAGGTGTTAAAATTGATCCTATGGTTTGGAGGAGCACTAGTGTATTTGTCATCATATCTATAGTTGCATATGTTGGCTTTGTGACCTTTTTCCCACAAACTTGACAGATTAGAGGTCTGTCATTTCCACAATAGAAGCTGCCTCCTCTGTTTCTGCCCCTTCTCCCTCCTCTGGAGCTGTCAAAGCTAGTGAATCTACCACCAAAATTTGGTCTAGAAAATCTTGAGCCATGATAATTTGAGGCAGACCTTTGGGAGAAGTTGGCTGAGGTCTGGTTAATATTGATTTCAACTATGTCACTTCTCAGGGAGTTAAGGTGTTCCAACCTACTTTCATATGTCATGAGTGTGGACTGAAGTTCGCCTCAGGATATATAATCCCTACCATTGATTTGTACCACAATGGGGGTATAATCCTCATCTAGTCCAGCCAATACTTGAGTGATGATATCTGTATGAGCCATCGTTTTACCAGCTATTTCAAGGTTATCAGCAAGTAATTTCACCTTGTTTAAGTACTGCTCAATGTTCATGGTTCCCTTTCTTAATTTCTGCATTTCCCCAATGAGGAAAATAATTCTGGATCTGTTATGCACCCCATAACTCTCTTCAATTGCTGTCCATAACTCCTTTGAATTAGTAGTACCCATGACTCTCATTGCAATATCAGGGGTTATTGAAGAGTAAAGCCAACCCATAAGTAGCTGATCCGTTGACATCCATTGGCCAAACTCAGGGTTCTTCACCATCTCAATGTTGGTGCCAGTTTCATTAGTAACTTGGCTGCCAATGAATTCTTGGGGACACGTCTTTGTCCCTAAGATGTATCCTTCAAGGTTATGTCCTCGTACAATGGGTAGAATCATATTCTTCCACAACAAGAAGTTGTTTCTGTCCAGCTTGACTGAAACAGCTTGAGTTAAATTAACTCCAAATGGTGAGGAGCTGCTCTTCTTAATGAGAGGGGTAGCAGTGCTGCTAGCAGCTGATGCTGGTGCAGGCAAAGGATCAGCATTTTGGGGTGAATTGAAGTTGTTGGCGTTTGCCATTTTTCCGCTCTGATACCAAGTTAGAATTCAATGAAGATAGAAATATTCAATCAGCCGTAACTATTGCTTAATTGATAGACGTTTAAATAATACAATGGTATATACAAGAAATAATCTAGAGAGGACAGCTGTTAATTAGTTCCTG